AACCTTTTCACTCGTAGATAAACAATTTCTTTATCGTCTTGTATAATAAAAAACTATTAGGGTGCTAAAGTATTAAGTCCTTTTAAATAATTAGTAGCATTTATTAACTATAGATAAAACAAAATCAAATATCTTTGTTAATCTACTAGATCCACTTCCAATAAAATGTTCCAGAATATAAGTATTCTGAAATTACGTAAAATTGTGAAAATTTTTGATTTAAATTATTTCTGAATAGTGGCCATTTTGGACTTGTTTTCGCTCTGAGGTACAGATATAAAAATAGAAGTGTCCTTCTGCAGTGGCTTGCGGCACGGCCCCGTTCTGTGAATATTTCGAGTCGGGGTCGGGTAAAAATTGCGCGAAATTGTGACGAAGGATGCAAATAAATTATGCGGTGAGTTGGTTGAGAGGTGATGTGGGTCTTTGGGTGCGCCGACGATGGCGATGGCGATGGCGATGGCGATGGCGCCGCATTCTGTACGGATCTGTATTATTTCTTGGGTGACAGTTGTTTCGCGAATTTGACGCGGTGGTTTGCCAAGGGACTTCGCCCGCCTCTAATTAGAGATGTTTGTACAGCTGCACCGCGTTTAACCAAGTACGTTAGCTACCGTCTGCTCCCTATACGTGTCACTCGTCAACCGTTCGCTCGTTTGTCATTCCCCAGGAATTTATAGTTGCGTACTACAGCCCGGCCATGATGATGGATCGATGCAGGAGCATATGTCACATTCAATGCTTGGAATCGCACCCACAACTATGCACTACAACTTACAAGAAAAACAACCTATAACCACACTAGACCTCTTCAACGCTGTATGACACTCATATGCCCCCATTCTTCAGTCACCCAACAGGCCAACATAATTTGGCCAATCGACTTGCTTTTTATGAAACGATAACGCACCGCTTAACGATTATTAACTTCCAAACTTCACCCACATATTTCAGTCACGTTCCACTAATTCCAGATCATTTCTCTAATCAAACTCGCCATAGAACAATCACAATTTGCTTTGAAAAATTGCGATTTGTGAACACATTATCGAAAATTAGCTTTATTGAATTTTTAAATATTCAGTATAGCGACTAGTCATCTTCTCAAGTTTTTGCATTAAAACGTCAAACTCGTGAAAACCCTTCATTGTACGGACATTCAGCTTTGCTAATTCCAATTACCTGGAACCTATTAAGGTCCTCGCCAAATTTAACTTTTCACCAGTAATATATTACGTTCGTTCCCGTTCATACACTGCAGATACACAGACTCAAACATAATTTCATTTGCAAAGGGTTTACATTCCTTGCCCTGCCTATCAATTCAATTTACAAAACGTATACCCTATATTTGCGAATTTTCAGGTAAACAATATTAATAAAATGTTAATTAATACTAGAGGGTACGAGTTACTAGTTTAAAATTCAGAACAAATTACGTTTTTTTGAAACGTTTCAAGCTATATCTTTCGTTATTTCAATTTCTCGAAATGGAGACTCTTCTTTTTCTAATGTTATATTTTACAATTTTTATTATTTTTTATTGTGTACGATAGTGTTTAATTTTCATGATCACAAGTTAGGTAGGTGAGATGTTTATATTTCAATTGCAAATCCGAGCCGTTCAGTTAATTCCAATATTTAGGAGAGAAATTTCATAACATCCATTATCATTTTTTTACATTCCATTTTTCACAATAACTTTAACTCTAATTGATACGCTATACGTATTTATATTTATAATTCTACAATAACATAATTTTGCTGTATCAATGCAAATTTTAATTTGGCTAATTTTAAAAATGGTGTGTTTAAACGAGGTCAAACTGCTTGATATTTAATTTTCATTATTGGGCGATAATTAGATGGGGAGTGATTTATTAATGAAACATTTTGGATAATAATACTTGACAAAGTGTGCATTATCAAAGCTGTGTTGTTTCGCTGTAAAAGTGAAAAATTAATTGTTTTCTTTTTGATAGAATTTTCAATAAAGAAACTCGTTTAAACAATGGAAAAATAATGAAGTATCGACATATAAATTAACCTTGTTAGCATCATTTATCAAAAAAGTGTCACAATAATGACCTAATTAAATTCTTATTCTACATAAAAATATTAATTAGAACCGGAGTGATAGTTAAAAGAATGGACGGTTTTATACTCTCTCGTCAAAGAAACAATAAGTACAGCAATTTGATCTTTGGTACTATAGTTTTGTGTAGAAAAGTATTTAAGACTGAAGGAAGTTTGCAGGAATTCATCAGAGGTTCAAACTTCCAAATTTAATATCTGCCCTTTAATGTTTGACCGAGTCGGTTTACAAGAATTTCCATAGACAAACTATTCGATTAACAAGTTGGTCATTCGAGCAAAAATATAATTTTTTAAGTTCGGCGTTTTGAAAAACTTGAAGAAAAGTTTTAATAGATATTTATAAGCCGGTCATAACTCATGCAAAGCTCCATGCAGGCCTACATTTAAAAAAGAACGTAACTTTCCCAGACTTAAGAATATTTTTGCCGAATTTTTACGTGATTTACATTTTATCATATTTACTTCCAACGGTGTTAAAGTTTCATATTAATGACAGAATTTTCGAGTTAGATTGTGATTTATAGCAACGGTATAAGGTATACTTCCCACTGGCTGCCAAACCTGTAAAATATGATAAAAGCTGACGAAATCTCTTTTTAATCTTTAATAATCCACTCTCCTCCGACTTAATTTATTGAATTATTGACAACCTCACAAGACATTTATAGTAAATTTGACGAAATAAAATTATTTGATATATTTGGGTCGTTTGAGTTATTGATTGATTAGACTAGAAAACCTGCAATTACTTGATACTTCATGTTTTCAGTGTAGTCTCGACCGATAAGAGAATAAGCCGTAATCATAATAGTCCCAGTGACCACCACTCACGTTCCTGTATTTGTAACCGACCTATCAAAATGACCGACTAGTGAAATCATTATTAATTCATTACTTTCTTTATCTAAATTCGGTATTTACGAATTGATTCAAGGCCAAAACACAACGTTTCAAGTAAACAGAAGAGAGTATAATTAAACAAATTTCGAAGTAAATTCTATGCAAATTTAATAGATAAATGTTGTTTGAATCGATAATTCGGAAATTTCAAATTTAACCAACAAATTTGTGTTGTTGCAAATACGATTTTACTTACGACTCAAACAAACATCAATAAAAGTCAGACTAGGGCGCAACTATAAAATAAATTAAATTTTTTACCAGCATGTGGTTTAAAAAGTATATTTCCATTTACATATTTATCTACCGGCAAAATAATAAATTTATCACTCGATTCAATTTAAATTAGAGTAATTGTTCAATACTTGTGCAGTCTCTCTGTTAGGTTACAACTGCAATAATTCAACAATGGCACAAAATTGCAAAGTGCTTTTGTTAGGTTAACCATTCTCGTTTTATTGGGAATTCAATGTTGAATTGAGTTTTATTTCCCCATCAACATTTTCCACAACACTTTTCCTGAAAAGGCGTACGAATTTTGTCACAGCGAAACACATTCGCTGCAAACAGACCCGACACCTAATGAACAAAACTATTTTTCATCCACATTGTAAATATCACGTTTGTCGACCCTACGACGATTAGTCAAAATGCCTTCGCACGACTGCGCAACCCTCTTCGTGATTTTTTACCCACCGCGAGAATAAATAAATATTTTCGCACGATTTTTACCCCAAACCCAACACCCCCAGTTATAATAACACAAATTAAATCAAGGCTCATCGATAAGAAAACACCAAATAGCTCCCTATCGAGTTTCCTAGCTATAATAGCAATAAAAATTATTATTTATTTGACATGAAATTTATTTAGTTTATAAAAATTTAAACTTTTAAAATTTCATTTCATTTTAGAGTGACTCTGAAACATGTATTTGTATAATACAATTATTCTATACACAAACAAATTTTCTAAAAGATAAACAATAACTTTTAAGAAAATTTTAGTATTTTTATTGAACATTTAGCATTTAGAAACTCTTTGATTTCTAGCAAAAGTTTGATTAATTTCTGCACCTTAAAATTTAAAGCGTTTATGAAATAAATACATAACTATCGTGCAAATCTATTTCCAGAAATATGTTACTCACGTTTTAATAAATATGCTGTGCATTAATTTATTTTTTAAAACTGCAATGGGTGAATGAAAAAAAAGGTTTTTTAAAATTCTCAATTTTTTTAAGACTTTCCATGCATATAGGTGTTTTTTTAAAAATAGAAAAGAGTGGGTGTGATTTGTATTCGGTAAATATTTGCACTTGTTGTTGGGGTAGCGAGCGTGCATTAGGAATATAAATATTATAGGATGCGTTTGTGTTTTAAAGGTTGGGGAGGTGCGGAGTGTTGCATCCATATTTCGCAATGTGTTAAGTCCCACTCCATAAGGCAAGAAATATGGACACGTCGTGCGTGTACATAAAACATAAAAATGACTGTAGGGTGAAAATAAACTGTAAAAAATATAAAGAGAGATCGTTGTGTTTATGGTTAGGGTCACGCTAAATTACGAGCTCATAGTGAGATATGATTGCATTGACAAGAAAGCCGAAAAGAGAGTTAAGAATGCAATAAGATTGGAGGATTGTAGGTTGGAAACTGGTCTTAATAGAATGCAACCCGGAGTTAGTGAATGAGTAATCCGGAAATCGCGTTACGCGTATGATTGTGTTGTCGGTAACTATTCCAGTATCCCAATAGAGCTTCATTTACAAGTTTAATGGCGCTCTGTAAACTTATTAATGTTGCCTAAACTCATCGAACGGTCCGTTATTAAGTTATGTTGTTATCATTTAGGTCTGTGTTTAACCTCCTTTCTCTGCAAAAGTTCCACTCGTGCGAAACATTTTCCAACAGTCAAACCACATCACACCAAATCAAAACAGAAACAAGCCGCGCCAATGCCGCAAATAAAGGACTAGCCCTGAAATATATTGCTTGTTTCAGGTGAACGGAATAAAGCCCCCAACTGAAACGCCGCCGCTTTCACCTGAATCTATATCTGCTTCGGATATATAAGTGGATTGACTATAACATCGTTTTGCAATCAGATGAACAAATAGAAAAGGTAAGCCCAAATTAATTTTAATTTTTCATACGCCTAAATCATCTCTGGTTAGCAAACAAACGTTATAAAACTATTTGATTTTGAATCCAACACGTCGGCCGACGGCTATTCCACATTTCTATTAAAATTTATTCAGACACAAAGTCGGTTTTCATACATCAAAAGAACACCAAACAACTTCTACGCCAAATACTGCTTATATTCAAACTCCGTCTCGTTTATTTTTGCTTAATTAATTTTTTTACGATCTCAATCGCGACGTCACGAACAACTCTTTTTCCCATTGCACTACTTCTTCCTTAATCTAAATATAAAAGTAGGAACGAGTTTACGGCGACAAATTAATTGAAAACAAAGTGGAGAAAAAGTTTTCATATTGCCCGCTTAGTTTTATCGTCGACATGTATTGTAATTTTGTAATCAACCTTTTAAAATTTTGACAATTCGTTTGAGTTAAAAAGGTAGTTGTTGCGTGAATAATTATGTAGCAGCTGAAAGCGACCGATTTGTAAATCTGAAGTTATCCGTCGAAACTGGAAGGAAAATAATGGGTCATAATAACGAATCGTTTCTCCAACAATTTAGTCACTCTAAAAAGCAATCATCTATATTTATTTCGTTATTTCCTATGATTTCCGGACGAAGTTTCTCAACTCGTGTAAAGTTGAGATATGTTAAAAATGAGTTTGAAGTTAAGCTAAATAGATGAGGAGTTTTCAATAAAAATAGTTGGGAAATTTGTGGTTGTTTAAAATTTTATCGAGAGTTGTTAAGTCTGGACCTGAGTAAGTAAGGTATGCAAGGTCGGAACTTGATACGTGAAACGGAAGGAGGCCGCAAGGGATCTTGATAGACGCCTCGGCAACTCGTTCAAAAGAGATTACAAATAGAAATATCGAGGGTTTGATCTGAAACTGTGATCTTTCAGAAAATGCCGATGCAGATTGTGATTTCTTTTGGTTTCGAGTGCGGTTTTGATAAGATACGCGAAAACGGCACACTTCCAGTTAGATTTATCGCCGACTCCTAGTTACAATTAAGTTAACAACTTATTCCGGCTGTATTGTTTTTGATTAATGACGTTCATTTATTCTTAAGCACGAAATTCCACGTGCATTTAAATAAGTCCAATTGATAAAGTCACGACTGCGACTACACGCGAAATTTGCTGCTTTGTTTAAACTCGCATTGACACTAAACACTCATTTGTAATTCCTTAAACATAATGTCATCCTCCAACAAACCGAAATTCATTTAGAAAAAAGCAAGTTAATTTATAAGAATGATAAAACCGTATTGCTATGTACTGAAATATGAAAATCGTGAGCGTACATTTTCGTGTCGTTGGGATACTCTGCATAAATAATTTGTAGCAGGGTGAGATTCAAAATGAATGCAATTAAAATCTGCGTTGACAGATCTCAAATCTCACTCTATACAAAAGGGAAAGTGTCAGCCCCTCTTAATGCACATTTACTTCTATATTTTGTTGTGATTTATTTCCAGATGTTGCAAAAAATCCACCCTGTAGTACTTTGAATTTTCTCAAATCCAAGTAATTAATTTTCTCTGAACATTTAATTAGCAGTTTAGTGATTGTTTTTTATCGGGGAGCCAACCTTACGTCAAAACCGTCGTTCCATCATCATGAAAAATCGACACTTTTAATTTTATCAACGAAAAAACTTTCACGAAACATTCGTTAACCAACTCCCAACTCTTTTATACCGTCGTGTGAGAATCCAACAAAAGTTACAAATAAAAACACGTCCGACGGCTTGGATAAGACCAGATGTTATAACGAAGACAATTTTTGACGGCTCATATATCCGTTTTTCACTCGTCACGTCCATCACTCTGTCACTTCGTTCACTATTTACAACGAATTGTCTTCAATCTGTCGCCAAAAACGGTACTAAGAACTTTGCGACATTCGACACGGCAAATGTAATACTCTCGCCTACTCTAACGTTTTATTAACCAAAATTACACAAATTTAAACTCTACTAATACAAAATGTATGGATTTACATTTTGACTAATGCGAGTTCAAATAGTGTCAAAATGGAATGTTTTCTCGTTGTGAGACTCGTATTATCTCTTATCCAAATGTAGTTTACAAACATTTTTCTACAATCGACATATAAAGTTAATATTTAGATTGTTGTTATGGTTTTGAAGTGAACATACTTTTAGACTCTAGTGCCTAAAAGAAATGTCATGTAACGTCATTTTTTATTTGAAAAGAAACTCAGCAAATGCCAAGAAAACACAAAATAAACGGCTTATTATTTATAATATGTATATTAGAAAATTAAACATTCGATGAGACTGTATCCGAGATATTTTGACAATTTTTATTCTCTGTGATAATTTCAACACGTGAAGACGTAGAAGAAATTGGCAAACACAAGACTGTGTCTTCCAAAATTATCTTTTCCGTGATGGTAACCTTTTTTTTTCTCCTTGCACCAAATTTCAAATTTGAAGTTGCTTGATACATAGATTTTGATCTCTCTAGGTATAAGGGTATTCATAGAGGCTTCTGCTGCTAGAAATTATCGGAATCATTTTTCCGATTTTTTTTATGTGGACAAACTTTCCGATATTTTTTCGCAAATTATTGTTTGTAAACAACAACTCGGCAACAAGATCGATTTTGTTATACTTGTCAACCTTGCAATTCTGTCAATTTGACAACGTCAAAAACTTTTTGTCAATGTCACATTTTCCATTTATTATAAAAAATTTTGGTGATTGTAGAAAAAACCATGTATGAAACACGTTGCGAAAGAAGTGTTTAGGCACTTGACGTGTGGTCAATTTCACATCGCGTGCTTAAAAGACTTCCATTTTGCAACTTATTTCATAAATAGCTATTAACTAACAGAAACAATAAACTAGTAATTGAGTATTTAGTTCAGTTCTTAAAAATAAATTTTATGAGTGAAGCTTTTAGTGTCTTTGAAGGTAAATAATAATATTTTTTTTCGCTACTAGTTGTAAAACGTACTATTATTTAGCTTGTCGAGGGGTTGTGAAGTTGTTTTTTGCTCCTAGTATTCAATAATAAGACTTAAACTTTCTTATTAAAAAACATCAGATTAACCCCACTTCTAATTCTTCTGTATTTGTCAAAACTGGCTTATTTCATGTTATTAAAATAGGTAGGTAGATTTGTAGTTAAAATATTGCCTTTAATAAATACAGTTTTTTGTATTATTTATCGTTGTATTTCTGGGTGAAATGTGGTAGTAGTGAAGAAAATATTATATAAAACACGGTAGAGAAGATGCTAGGCATCTCGGGTAATAAACAGGAAATAGTTTGACAATAAAAAATCTGTTTTCTACCTTGTGGTACAATATAATAATTTTAGCCAAAATTTCTATAATTAAAATGAGTAAAAATGTAAAAATTTGTTTGCGATACTTTGACACACTCTTTCGTACAAAAGTTTATACACAAAGAAAAAGTTATCTCTTGGATTATTTCCATTCTACTTCTCACCTTATTTCTAATGTGCGTATAAAAATACGTACTTAAGTTTGTAAAAAATTGAAAATATCGGAGAGTGAAAAATATTCGATGTGTGATAGAAGAGAGATGATTTTTTTTATTGTGGTAGCAAAATTAGGAATTCCTGGTGGATACATAGTTCTAAGTCAATGCATCCCCGAGGGATGATCTGACCGGTGTACCGCAGCAGGAGCTTGAATTGTGTATAACCGATTGTTTGAAATTAGGCTATATCCCATGATTAGTTGGGGAGGCGTTTAAACGCGAAGTCCAGGTATTTAGCGGATACGGTTGTCGTCCTCATCCTGATATTAATATAGGGGTGTGCGACTAATTGATGTTCAAAGTTGCGTGATCTGTATTCGAAGCGAGCAAAGGGTCAGTGGAGACGGTGAGCGATGCGCCACTAGGGAAACGACAGACTGATCCTGACTAATACAATTATGAGGAATGAGACAAAGACCGTCACCGATCACCGCCGGAATTGCTGGAATGGTGTAATTGAGGTTTGCCGGTTGCACGAGTCGCTTCTTCCCGGTATATAATTAATGAGTAAAACGGTGCGTGAGAATTCGCACCCTAGCTGTCTTCGATATAAATCGAACCAATCAACAACGAAAAAAATCGAGTAACGAGTCATTCGCGCAAGATAGACTAACTTTGCTGCCATTATTGTGGTTTCCTTTGTCTACACATAAAACCTAAGTAAACACCCTATAAATTTACAACTGTTGTCTTAGCAAAACCACATTCTCTGCCTAGCAGCGGACCAAAAACTAACTACATGCGTAAGACCCTCGCAACCATTAAACGATACTATGGATCATCATTATGGCACACTGACGAAACTAAACAAACTCATATCTCATTCTGATACACACACAACAAACGAAATCAATTTTCTTATGCAAAGCATGGGCACCGACTTTCATATTTTCAGTGGGTGCATAAACAAAAAACTTGCAGGACTTGAGAACAATTACGCGGAAAAACTATTTCTTTTTCTCTATTTTTGTATTTAATGTATTCAATATTCAGAACATTTAATAAATAATATAATTTTTTGTATAGAACAAAAGAAAAAATCAATAAACAACAGTAAAAAATACAAATGTGGTTTATGTATGTATATGCAATAAAAAGTGTAAAGAAAATAGTACGTGTTCAAAGTTGCAAAATGCTTCAAGTTGTTGAGTTTTCAAACATAATTAAGACTGTTAAGTTTCGGAAAAAAAATTGACTTTTTTGATTTGCATAAATGTTCGTAATCGAGTGCTGAATACAGCTTAGGGGTATCAACCTTTAATTAATGAAATTAATTTTAGATGAGAAAAATTGGGGCATGCAAAAGCTCTCTAAAATTAGTCAGTTTTGTATCGTGATTTTTTACAAATTTTTTAAAATAAAAAAATATTGAATTTTTTTTTCAAATTTGACATGCAAAATTGTAAAAGTAGTTGAAAGAAATTGTTTTTTTTATGA